CCCCCCCCCCCCCCAGTTGGAAGGATGAACCTCAGGCCCATTTGTTCCTACGAATCTACTAAAGACATACGGAATCTCCTTCGAGATCGGGTGGGCTCATCTCCCGTAAACAAACGTACAAGAGACGCGGCTGGGCGAAGGTTCACATGCGCATACGTTAATGCGTGTATTTATATAATGATGAATAATTGTGTTTCATAAAAGTAATTTTATTGCAAATATATTTCCAGATTTTAAAATTTAAATTATGAACTAATGTACACATTCTTATAGCATTACATTCAAAAACATTTAATTCACTACACCAATCCTTGACTATATTCAAGTATTACCGCCTAAGAGTATAATTATAACTGGACTAATTGGAGGAGCGTGACATCCCAACAACATATTACGTTTCTCACGAAAAAATGCTAAGAATAATCTAATTCCAGGATAAAAAATTGCCACCTACAGACTTCGGAATTAGAACCGGGACGCGTACAGAAAGCTATGAAACATTGATATAGAATGCTCTAAAGTTGATTTTCTAAAACACTGAGTGAATTTCATGAAAATGTAACTAAATTTGTTGTGTCCATATGCTTGTGCATGCTATCACTGGGAGCAGTACTAGAATGAATCTTGAATGGCGCACTGTACGACGAAAAAATCGAAAAACGAATTTTGCGAAGATTAATGAAAAATAACGTATAACTAATTGCTATCTATCTTTCCTGATCTACACTTCCATCGTGCGCGCATAACCATCAAATTCCACCACATTCCGTTTCATCGTTGGTACATCAAATCAAGCATCAAACATCGTTGCCTGCTGGTAGGCATCCCGTAAGAGTATTTTGAAGTTTCTCAAAAATAAAATTATTTTCAAAATCAGAAGTGATAACCTCTAGCATAAGTTAATTCTGCTATTACCCTAACGTAAATGGTCAAATATTTTGAGCTCTGGTCGGAATTAAACTAACAGATCCATAGCCAACCATTTTACCCTTTGAATATTACATAGTATTGTGCGCGTTCAATCTCACGACATTGCTATCGACTTGCGTTCCTATAATAATGAAATCTTATTGATTCATTCTATCTAATAGCTAATTTACACAGACAAAAATTGTTTACTCTAATATAGCGCCAATAATTCGAAGAGGCGGAGAACCTTAGAGTGTACTGAATTTCAAATATTCCAATAGAAGAGATAATTTGAACGTACTAATTTTTGCAGGCCATGAGAAAAATAAACAACGAATCTATGAACGTTATTGAATATAATGTCCGCAACTATAAAGCAGTACTTAAATATGAAAAACTGTACCAGACGATATAAAATAAAGTTCAAGTATTAACTAAATAACTTTATTTGCTTCATACTAGCGTATGTTGTTACCTATACAGGTGATTCAGAATAAATATTACAAACCTCCAAGGCATGCAGTGGAGTCAAAGATGATCGCGTTTAGTCAGTGATCATGTGAGAAATCTCTAATAATGGAGTTATACTAGTATTTATTTACAATGCGTCCATGATTGCAAGTTACTTACGTTGCTCTTTTGATTACAGTTATATGAACGTCAAGGATTTTATTGCTGCCCAGAGTTCGTAATATTACCAAACACTATGGAAGAATCATTTGCTTACTAATCAGGGGAACACTATCCAAAAAGCCAGTTGTATAACTTGGTGGCACGAGATTTTTCCCGCGCGTGTTTGTCCATCAGCAAAAATTGATTGTTATGAACACCCCTTGTTCTCCTAGACGTTAATGATATTACTTTGAACTACTCTGTACGTATATGGAAACGACTACAATTCTAATAGAAAGTCTGTACTTTGACCTCAGCGTCGCGAACTCCTTGATGTCGGCGAAGTAATAAAAGCATTCGTGCAGCTCATACAATAAGGGAATGATACCATAACTAGTTCGTGCCTGTTGGCCGTTTGCGATACGTCTCCTTGGCGATATCATCCCACATGCAGTTGCAGATTTCTATCTATCCCTAACTCCCTATCATTCGAGTACGTTTTTGTATCTTGGCGTCATAGCCGCTGCTCACATCTCTCGTAGAAAAACGACGTAAAATATGTACTAATACATTCATCGGATAAGGGAAAATGATAGGAGCGTAGGCTTCGCGCGGCGGAGGTCAGTAATTTACTATGGCTGTCCGGGGTGAACGCACTTCCATGGCGAAGGTGCCAACGTTTCGGTCGCCATTCTTGCAACCTTAGTTACTTCAGCATTAGCCCATTATTAGCATTACGCCCAGCAATTACGGAAAGCGCGGCATTACGCTCTGAGGAGGGTTCGCAGAATGGCGACCGAAACGTTGGCACCTTCGCCAATGGACGCGTCGTCAACCGGACAAGCCTAGTAATTAATAAGGTAATGATAGTTATTCAAGGCTTCTTAGCGGGTGGGTCGCTCTGGCTCTCTTGATGCGTTAGATTTCTAATGAGAACCTGCGTTCTAACCGTTATCAAACCAGTGCAAGGCATACGCGTCGTTGCTTGACGAACCTTGTACCCCGTTGTAAATCGTCGCAGCGTAGGTATCCGATACTTGCATTGTTATTCGATTAACTTGGCTTTCGAGATTTTGTTTAGTTTTGCCGGGTCGCATATTATCCAACTATCTTCAAATTCATATGTAACAATAGATACAGGGCGAGTGCTATACCACTGCGTAGGCGTCGCCATCCTCAATTAGTCGTAAAAAGTAGTTAACAGTATATTCTTGTACAATCTTAATGGGGGTATTGTACTTGAGTCCTGATAATTATCGTCTATCATCTTACAACTAGATTTCGTTTAGTTTTTACCCGCACGCACATTCCGATCCTTATCAATGCAGTCACAGGGCGCAGGCATACCTTCCAAGTACGGAGCCATTCTTGTCGTAGAAGTTATCCTCCAAAGCCATTTTTGACGCCATTATTGTCGTCATTAATATAGTAAAGTATTCGAAAGACCTCAATTAGGGGCTGATATTTCATGCCTGGCTAATTATCGTCTACCTCCTTCGTCGATTCGTTAGTTCCACCGTGCAAACACCCAAGTTGTATACCAAGTGGTATACCCAAATTGGCAGGTTCAAACCCGATCGAAGCCGTGTATTTTTACGAGTACCTTCCTTCGGAGGGGAAGTAAAGCCGGCTGTCCCATGTTAGTAGATTTACTTGCATGTAAAAGATCCTCAAGCCTAAATGACGCCTCTGATCTAAATTCAAAAATCGCCTGTTTCTCGCCCAAGAAATACCACCTTCCTCTACTAGTTGGGGAAAGGAGCGTATCGAAATTTGCGTGGTCAGACACGCCACGTAAAATAAGGCATTAATTCAATTCAATTCAAACACCTGCGCAGGCGCACGGCGTGCGCGTGGCTCACCTTGGCGTCGGCGTCGCCGCCTTCCTCGTCGTCGTAGTAGTAGTAGACGTATTCGTATTCGTAGTCCTGGCCGTTGGGGCCCTTGCGCACCTCGACGCGCGAGCGCTGCCCGCCGGTCGAGCCCGCGCCCTCCAGCGCCGCCTCAGACGGCTTGAGGGCGCCCGGCTGCAGGGCGTTGGGGCTGGCGCGGGTGGGCGTGCCCACGGGCAGCAGCACGTCGTAGGGAGCGGGCGTCAGCGGCTGGGCGGCGCCGGCGGGAGATGGCGTCACGCTGCAAACACACACACAGAAACGACATGGTCAATTGGATTACTGATTGTTTCCACGCACGTTAACTGCTAGTCATTAATCCCGTATGTGTTGTGCATTTTTATTCCTGGAAGTGGCTTTGATTGACCGACTTGCGATTCATTGATCGATTGATGACTGATTGATTACTGATTGATTGGTTAGGGACTGCTTGGTCAGGGATAGTTTGATTTGGGCGCATCAACGGCTAAGGTAATTAGTTCCGTAAGTGTAGGTCATTCTTGTTTAGCTCAGGAGTTGGCGGTGATATTCCACCGCTATATGGGGAGATCCGTCACCGATCTACCGTCGGCTAGCGTGGGTTTCCCCTAACCAGGCATCTCCCATCAGCGGGGCACCGCCCCAGCCGGACCAAGCGTTAAGCTCCAGATTGATCTCGTGACAAGTGCGATAATGTAAGGAACGAAAATACGTACGTGCATGTAAGGGGTGAGGGTAGAAGAAGGAAGAGGAAGGAAAGATCGCGCGGTCCGTGGCCCGTTTGTTAAGGTACTGATCCGGCATTCGCTTGGGGTTGATCGGAGAATCCACAGAAAACTACCGACCAGAGCAGCCGGTCGCTAGAATTCTCCTCCAGAAAGCGGCTGCATTCGCCCTAGCTGACAATTTAGTGTGGAAAATTCTGTCACCTTCGAGATTCGAACCTAGGACCTCCCTGTCAAAGGCACTGCAGACATATCTGACTAGATGCCATAAGCCCTCTCCCGGTATGCGGGCCTAGAAATGACCACGTCTGGTGAAACAAATGATCCCGCGCGGACCTGCATGTTGACTTATGGGATTTTCCTCTCAAAAAGCCTCCCCCAGAAGGGCATTTGTCCAGTCGGGTCAAGCTGAAGCGCCCAACTGGTCTGTCGACATGGGTGGCAGAGTAGAACATGGGAGTGTAAGCGTGTGTTAAAAGTTGAAGTGGGAACAAGAATGAGAGAGGCAAAAATCGGGGCTTCTCTGTGATTTGTTTGTTACGGTATTACATTGGCACTGCCCTGGTATTGATTGGAGAAACTACGGAAAACTATAAAGCAGATCAGCCGATCGCTAGCATTTTCCTCCAGACAGTGTGTAAACAGTGTGTACCTATCTGGATACCTAGTGTCGAAAATTATACTATCGTAGCGAATCGATCTTTAGAACCTCCCGGAATCTGTCGGTTCTGTGGCAACCGGTAGTGATAGAAATGTTGTAGGAAACATTAATGCTCGCGTTTTCACACAGAATTTGGCATTTATCCAAGTATTATCGACGATGGACTCGGAAGATTGTTATATTTTATGATATTGTATGATTTTGTTTCTATATTATCATGACTTTACTCAAATTACAAAATTGTAAGCTCGTTAGTGAAAATATTTGGTGTCAGCTCGTTTCAAACTGGTTTAACTGCACAGGGGTGATTATGCATCCCGCAGTACTTCAAAGTAGCCTTTAACGGCCTGGAGGATTGCAAATAATTATCGAGATCGATCAGAGATGGTCGTGCGGCAAATAAAAATTGGAAGGGAGGTAAAAAATAAGGATGTATCATCTCTCGAGAGCAGGGTAGTTAACGAACTACAATATCGCTCCTGTGGGGGTAGGCCCCTGAACACGTTTCCAGAGATTAAACCACAGACAGGAACAAATAAATTACGTACACGAAAAAAAAGAACAGTTGCAGTATACCAGATCCATGAAACTGTAACAAGTTCCCTTGTTCCAGTATCATGGATCTGGTATACTGCAACTGTTCTTTTTTTCGTGTAGGTTAAAAGTTTATTTCGTATAGGTTAAAGTGTTCGTGTAGGTTAGGTTGAAAGAGTATAAGAAACAAAGACGACAAAACGGAAATTGACCTTATAACACAACTTTTTTTGTCAAAAACGTATATGTCAGCTCTAAATAATTTCAGAAATTTACGTTTACTCTTTTTGTCAGTCCAAAACAAAATGTTTTATTTACATCTGGTGAACTTTGTTTGGATTATAATGTTAACAAACGGGTTAATTT